GAAGTGTTAGTCTGTCCACTTACAGGCAAGGAAACCAAGGCTGTGACCAGTGGAGGAGGAGGAGGGAGATGGTGACATGTAGCTCCAATTTATATCCCTTCTATGGTTTTTGTTCCAAGAGGAAGAAAGGTATCCCTCTCCCAGCGTTCGCGGAGCAAATCTTGGGGAAGATCCAATTAATCTCCTTGGGTCCTGTCCCTATCTCTCTGTAGGGAGGAAGGAGATTAGCAGCACAGTTACCCATCCACCAGGATCACATGAAGTAAGAGGTGTGGTCCTCCAAGGAAAGGCAGGGGTGGGCGGGAAGCAGATACCTACCACATCAAGTCTAGGCCATTACTGAGGGCCGGGCTAGGACAGAAATCAGGACCTTGTTCCTAGCGCAGTTCTGGAGGTTACAGAGAGGAAGAAAAATAGCTAAGTTTAGAGCAAAAATAGTTTGGGCCTCTTTTAAAGGAATGTCAATTAGAAATGAAGATAAAGCTCTGAAATGATGTTAAGTCAAATGACCATTTTTTTCACTTTTAGAAGTATATGGATATTATAAGATGCAAATTCTTGTTATTGCTAATGAATGCTTTCACACACAGTCTATAATTTAGCATGGAAGTGGATTGAAAGGCATGCCTCATTTCCTTGCTTCTTGTTTTCTTCCTGTCACGATGGGGCATGCCGGAATGAAATTTCGAGGGAAAAAAACTTTCTTGAAGTTTCTAGATGGAAAAAAACTATCAAAATACAAACGAAGTGGATGATTATGGTCATAACTAGTGTTTGTTGAGCAGTGAACATGTGCAACACACGTGTCACGTAGTAAACGTATAACCTCATGTAAATCTGACGACTACCCTATGAGTTTGGAAGTGTTAGTCTGTCCACTTACAGGCAAGGAAACCAAGGATGTGACCAGTGAATAATTTGCCCCAGTTCCCGACTGTCTGAGCTGGGATTCTACCTCAGGTACCTCTTTTTTTTTTTTTTTTTTTTTTAAGATTTTATTTATTTATTTGAGAGACAGTGAGAGAGAGAGAGCGAGCACATGAGAGGGGGGGAGGGTCAGAGGGAGAAGCAGACTCCCTGCTGAGCAGGGAGCCCGATGCGGGACTCGATCCCGGGACTCCAGGATCATGACCTGAGCCGAAGGCAGTCGATTAACCAACTGAGCCACCCAGGCGCCCTACCTCAGGTACCTCTGATTCCAGAGTCTGTGTTATCAGCATCGTGCTTATAATTAGTTAGAGCTTTAGTTCATTTAATTGTGTAATTTAACTATTTTAAAAGCAAAATTGTTGCTTGTGGGTCATTATTTTGTTTTACCCTGTGTGAAGCAAAGTGCACTTGAAGCTGGCTTTCTCTTCCCCCATCAGTGACATAGGGCCCCTCTTCCTGTCTTGATCCACCAGTGACCTAGGGTCTCTCACTGCTAGGTAGGAAACTGGAATACTTTAAATCTCAAGCCATAATTATACACATTAATCACATGGAAAACCACAAATAACCTATAACCCAGAGGCGCATCTAAAAAGGCAACTGTACTACTTACAGTGTGACCCAAGTGGGGCGCCTTGGTGGTTGGTTAAGTGTCGACTCTTGGTTTCAGCTTAGGTCATGATCTTGGGGTTGTGGGATCGAGCCCTGCATCGGCTTCTGTGCCCACCGTGGAGTCTGCTTGAAATTCTCTTTCCCTTTCCCTCTGCCTCTCCTGCTCATGCTCTCTTTCTCTTGCTGTTAAAAAAAAAAAAAAATCCTTAAATTGTGACCCAAGAAAATGTCACTGCTGAGCGTGTTGCCACTGTAGATAAATGTGTCTCAAAGAAATATAACAGCAGAGTCCCCTGTCTACACCAGCTGTGTAATTTCCTTGTTTTTCCAGAGTGGCTCTTGCCTCAGGCTTTTTCACCTCTCTTCCCTCTCAGCCCAAACCCCACTTCCCCAATACACACACACTGGGCTAGTCCACCTCTATGATGATGTCTTATCAGTGTAGGTCTTTTCCTCCTCTGCTGGTTGATAACTGGTTTGATGATGTTTCTGCTTATTATCTGACCCTTCTTTAGTTCACCACCTACCATTTGATAGTCTCCGCCTTCTGGTCTCCTCATGTGACTAGCCCACCAGTAGATTCACGATAAGCTCAGCCTTGCTATCTGGGAAGTGAGTGCTTTCATCTGATAGCAATGAAGTATTTTGTCACTTGATAATGGCTTCCCAGATGACTATAATGTATTGCTTTTTGTATTATCCAGAGTAACAAGTCTCCAAACTTTTTTGATCATTCATTCCTATCAATATATTTTTTGGAAGCAATTCTTAACCAAAGATATGTGTATTTATTTATAAAGTACAAACATATGCTTTCATTTATAACTCAGTCACAATATATGCTTAGGGTGAAAGGCATTGTTAATGACAGTGGATATAAATCCTCATTCAAATAATCTCCCTGATGAATTTGACCTATTTTTTAGAAAATTTGGTTAGACTAGATTGTTATTTTAACTTTGAAATGTGGCTGTCAAAGATCTAGTATTAGAAGTGTTAGTTCTGCGGTGTCTGTTTTCCTGTGGTTTCTTTGCAAAGGACCCTGGTAAAATTGCTTGTCTGTTTTCTACAGGTTAGTTTAATTAAGCCTAGGTAACTCCATCAGTAAATCCACTTAGTCGAACCTAGCAGATTGCACTAAGTCACTACCTGTTGACCCGGACTGACTGGGTGGGATTGCCACTGCTCACCCCTGGAATGGGTACTTCCATTTTTCCTTGAGGACATCTCCTATGCTGTTCTAGGTCAAGAGAGGATTGTATGGACTGAGTGCAGGGTCACTTATTCTGTATATAAAATATTAATTGATCTTAATGACTACTTTTCAATTAGAATTAAGCATAAGCAGATGTCCTCATATTCTATTCTTCTGCATTCCAAATGGATTGCCTTGTACTATTCCTGCAACATATACAACCCTGGCTTGCATGGACCTCCTTAGAAAATATTGTCCAAGGAACAATTTCTCACATAGGCAAGGATGTCCCCATTTTAAAAGACCTGCTCATTTCAGTTACTCAGCCATTTTATAGAAAATGAGTTTTGAAATGAATTCTTTATAGAGATCCATAATTTTCAAGCAAAATCCCCACTCTGCAAAATGTGAAATGTTCTAAGCAACAGCTGTGAGCATTTCAAACATGCACTACTCTTTGACGGTCCAACTGTTGCCAAGGGAAATGGAGTTGGCTTTAAAATCTTCCTTGGTTTTAATTCTGCATTTCCCTCAATCACAGATTGAGCAAAAAAGTTCTCCATGGCTGGGACACTGAGCTTTTCATGAAGACTGGCATATGAAATCGAGATGCAAAAATGTAGTTTCTTGAAGGTAAGGAGAATGGTATTCTAGCCAGTTTTATAAGGCCTAGTGATGAACTTTGCAGGGCAAAAATGAGCACCATCTATACAGTGGCCAATCATCTGAAGTCAGTAGGGGGAAACTGCTTCTAAGAAAGACATCTTTTCCTGTTTCCCATTTGTTCAAAACCGATCTTTTTAAAAAATCTTTCAATGGCACAAAATTTTTTTTTCCCACTCGAGATCCATTTATGGGAGTGTGAATAAGAATTTGCAACACCTGAGTGTTAACACAGACAAGAAATGCATTTTTTTGTTACTTGTACATATGGTACATAGTTTTATTAACTGTGTAGAAAACATGATAAAATGCTGAGGGGGAAAAACTAGACTACAGAACAACATACAAAATTAAGGAAAAAAATACAGGAGGGAAGTAGATCAAAATGCTAACGGGTTATCTCTGCGTTGCGGGATTATAAATGTTAAAAAAATTTTTTTTCGTCTTCCAAGTTTTTAACAACTGGTGATCTGACATTTGTTTTCAGCATTAAGAATTTCTTTCTTCCTCCCCCAAGTCCCCCCCAACCCCCCCCCCCAAAGATGTACCTAGCGTGCATTCAAATGGAACGAGAGTCCCAATAACATTATCTGGAATTGCACCGTTTGGGTTTGGGCTCACCAAGTATGTAAACACATCTCTATTTTATTATTTGATCTAGCTAGAGTTGAGTGAATTCTTCTCCATAAACTCTTTCGGATCCAAACTGCCAATTAAAATCTCGCAAACTTCTGCACTCTGGGAACTGGTTTTCCCTGCGCTCTGTGTAGCGGGAAGGCCCATGCAGTCGATCCCGATAAATGATTGCAGAGCACAGGGACAGCGTTCCCACCTGCATGAGCTACACCGGGCTCGCAGGAGCTTCAGGGAGCTGATATTCAAAAGAAAGGTTTAGGGAAAAGGAGACGAGGTGAGACAGAATTCGAAGCGATACCCAACCCTTGGCCCAGGCCCAGAGGTTCAGATTTCGGTGCCAGGTCACCCACAAGGTTCATAGGAGAGCGACTGCTGGGGGTTTCACAGCGTGCTGCAAGGGGCCCATTTACACAGTGGCGCACAGGCGCGGGCGGGATATCTTATTTCTTTCTGCGCTTATTTCAGCCCTGGTACCGGTTCTGAGTGGGACTCCTCCAGCCCAGAAGTGCCAGCCTAGCCGCTGAAGGGGGCGAAGCCAAGGCCCAGGGGGCTCCCCCACCCTTAGCCGACCCTTGCCCTTGGAATCCTCTGGCTGAAGACGACCGCCGCCCAGAGAAGCCGCATTGCGTGGAAACCCACCCATCCCATTGATCTATCAGTCGCACCTCCCGGGTTTCAGGAGCTCCTCAAAGGCCTAGCCGCTGCGGTGCTTCCCTACTTCAGGTTACCCACCCGCCTGGCGGAAGCTGCAGCAGCGCGGCCGGAGATCGCGGCTGCATCCGGGTCCTTCTCGTCTCAGCCCAATCCTCGGCCTTGTCTCTTCCCACCCTCCTGTTTCTCCGCCCCCCCGCCGCCAATCCCTGATCGGCTCTCAGTCGAACCTGCTGGCATGGGAGTGAAGGCGGACGCGGGCCAATGAGGCCTCGCTTCCCGTTTGAAGCCTCCAGTGAGTGGGCGCCGGAGGCGGGCGCTGCTGGCCAGAAGGTTCGGTTGCGCGTGTGCCATGGACTCAGCCGCCCGGTGATATTGACAATAGGAGAGAGAAAGGGGCATTGACGGGGACCCACCGCGGGTACCAAAGGGCGGCTCTGGCAGCGGCGGCTCCAGCTCCGGCGGCTCCTCCTCCTTCTCCTTCCTTCTCCTGCTGCCGCTGCGGATCCAGTCTTCCTCCCTCCCTTCCCCCCCTCCCCACGTCGTCGCCGCCGCCGCCGCCGGGTCCGGGGCAACGAGCAGAGGCGCCGCCCGCCGGGTATGTGAGCGAGGAGCCACCGGCGGAGCCGCAACGGGGTCGGTGCCGATTTGATGGGACGGGCCCGCGGGGGAGGATCGTGAGGCTGCCGCCGCCGTCGCCGCCGCCGGAGCGCTGAGGTTCAGGTCCGGCCGTGAGGCCTAGAGGCGCCGCCGCCGCGGAACCGGAGGGACGCCGCGCCGGACAGTCGTCGCCCCGGGCTCCCTGCCGCTGTCCGGACCTCCCCCCGTACGTCCCGGTCCCGCCACCCGCCCCCGCTGCGGCCCTCACGCCGGTCTCCCGCCCCTCGAAACCACAGATCATCTTCGGATTCTTCCCCAGAAGCTTCAAGGTAACTTCGTCCCTCCAGCTCCTCGGCTCGCCCGCTTCCCTTCTTCCTCAGGAACCTGCAGGACACCGGCCTCGGGAAGGCCTGGCCGGGGCAGGCTAGGGGAGCGGAGGGGTGGGGTGTGGGAGAGGGAGCGCCCGTCCCACTTGTCTGATTTACCTGCAAATGCTTCTGACGATGCCTCCCATTTACTCTGCCCCCCTCCCCTCCTCTCCCCCCACCTTCCGGCATTGGAGGCATATTCTTGTCCCCCTTTATCCACTGACGGGGGGCGGGGGGAAACCGGGGGGATTGGTGTAGTGAGAAGGATTCTGTTAACAGCTTATCTTCTCCAGGGCTGGGGGCGGGGGGAGGGTGGGAGCAAAGGGAGTATGTCAGCATCCCTGCAGACCAACCCCTTCCCTGTCTTTCTCCTCCACCCCAGCACCCCCATTTGGATTATCCTGAACCTTGGAAATGCCCCGTGCCCGCTGCTTAGACGATGATAAAGCTTTGGGCGTCCTGGTCCAGGGCGAAACCTGTTTCCACGGGCTTTGCACGGACCCACTGCTACTGCAAGTTCAGTTCTGCAGCGCTTTAGGGTTGAGATCCTTGACGTCTATTCTGGGCCGCGGGCAGAAGGGGCAAATGATTTTTTAAAAAAATGCTAGCAACAAATCATCTTTGGAGATGGGAGATGAGGAATAAAGAAGAGACAAAAAGAGTGATGGAGGAGCAGGATTTACCGAAATCTTGCGTTGTTAGGGTTAAATGGAATCTAAATAATTCACATACCACATTGGAAAAGCTGCCCCTAAATTTACAACATACAAATGAGATGTGGAGCTTCTTGCTGATGCAGTCATTGTGAAAAATTTTAACTGATCTTACTTCTTCCATAGTCATTCATAGTTTGCAATTCCATTTTGAATCTGTCACATTTTATTTAAGGCTAAATTAGGTAGATTTCTGAAAACTTTTTTTTTTTTTTAAGAGAATCAAACAAGACTTCAGAATCCCAAACCTCAAGATCCAGGGTTTTGTTTTTTGTTTGTATTTTTGTTATTTTTTTTTACTTTGTTGGAATCCGGATAATCCAGATAACTTTTTATTCTTGCATGTTCAGGAAGAAACTCCCTTACCTTTTAACTTAGAGGTTAAAAAACACTTAATCTTATGTATTGGAATGACAGGTGAGTAATTGCATTTCAGTATTTCCCCCATATGCATTATTTTCATTCAAGTCTGTCATTTATCTTGCATGGAGCCTCAGTACCATGGAAATGATGGCATCTGTTTAAATTGGAGAATGAAATTGAGCTTAAGTCTTGTTACTTTTAGGAACTGGCCTTCATTTTAATAATTTGGGAGGATTAAAAGAAATCTCACAGGACTGTTCTATCAGTTTGATGGAATGAAAGTTACTATCTGATGATGAACTTAAAGGGAACTCAACTTGGTTGTCTAGGGTGTGAATTTATGTTTTCATTTCAACTTTGGTGCACGATTTCATCATAATTTTGTTTATTAAGCTTTAATAACTTAAGATGGCTTCATTCAAAAAGAAAACTTCTTTGAAATGCTTTTAATTATGCCTTTTTTGTGTTCTGTTTAAAGTAATCTAACCTGTCCTCATTTGTGGGGTGGTATAGTTTATCATAGCTAACACAGCACATTGCCTTAAAAGTCATGCCTAGTTTCATTAGTTGTAAATTTCACCTTGCTGTGCTATGTTGGTGTAGATTCTTGAAGTACGATAAGGGTTTTAACTGCAGAGCCCATTTATAATATTAAATATCTTGGGAAAATGTATCGATGGAAGTTTTCCAGTGGCAGAATAGCTCCAAAATTACTTCAGGAATCTCAAGAGGAGAAGAGCTGTGCAGTTAGAAAATGAGTAGATGGCTTAGAAGACTTTGTCAAGTGTCAGTGAACATATTTAATGCTTATCAGAGTGGGAGCAGCCCATGCATTAGAACTACAAGATTGCTTATATAGTACTTAAATTCCTTCTGTTTATCATCAAATTTTCATGTTTCCCCATTGAACGTACAATTTTTCTTAATTGATTTTGTTTGTTTTCTTCATCACATACTCCAATTTTCATGCATATTGTATATGGGAATTTTAGAATTTGTGTAATTCATGTGTATGCTTCCACCTTGGGAATATGTTTATGATACCTCTTTCTCTTCAGTAGGGATATGTCCTCAGCACCAACTACTCCTCCATCAGTGGATAAAGTAGACGGATTTTCTCGGAAGTCCGTCAGAAAAGCCAGACAGAAGAGGTCGCAAAGTTCCTCACAGTTTAGGTCTCAAGGCAAGCCTATTGAGTTAACACCTCTGCCGCTGCTAAAAGGTAAGGCTCATGACCAGGTGATGGATTCCTTTCCAGTTGATATTTTCATATCTATATATATAATTTCCTTTTTGGAGAATTTCATATTTGTTAAAGTTCTGTGTTGCAAATTGAAGGGATGGGAGATTTCAGACATGTTGAAATTACTGCTGTGTGGGCATATATACCCACTTTCCTTCTTAAAGGACTCAATTTAATATAAATATTTGTGGACAAATGAAAAGAAACCTGTTATCAGGAACATCTTTCACATTGATAAAGAGACAAACTGAATGCCAGAGAAGCTTTAAGATGCCTAGGTGTGTGTTTTTCATTTTTTCTTCCGTTGACAGATATACATCATATGTGATAACAGCTACAAATTGTAGAGTTTTAGTCACAGGAAGTAGACCTAGGAGAGGAGATGGTACCATTAACTTACATATAGAAAATGATGTTTGAAAAAATTCATTTTTAAAAATCAAGAAAAAATTGCGTTTTCAGATAATATATGTAGAAGACATGATGATCATACTTAATACTACTTTTCTCTTTTCTTTGGAATGAGTCAAGGGCAAGTTTTTCCTATGAGATTTGCTTTTTCTAAATTAGACCTTTCAACTTTTGTTTGGGTATTATGTGGATACTTCTGTTCCTTTTAATTTTCATTTGTTTGCTTTATGTTTATGAACAGACATGGTTGAAATACATCAAAATGTACCATTTATAGCATGGAAACTATCAGAATCTGCCTTTGAAAGTAGATTTTATCTGCTGAACACTTAAGAGTGAAGAGAAAGGGGACGTGAACAAAACAGTGCACTTTTCGTAGCTCAGAGGAAATCAGAAAACCTCATTCGTTAATGAGCATTTACTTCTATAACAGTTTGTGAAATTAGAAGGTATTATAAGAAAAACTGGAGTTCGACTAGAAAAGACCCTCAAAATTTAGCCTAGGATATTTCAGGCTTCTATTTTTCCCCATGTGAACTTTTTTTTTTTAAGATTTTATTTATTTATTTGACAGAGACATAGCGAGAGAGAGAACACAAGCAGGGGGAGTGGGAGAGGGAGAAGCAGGCTTCCCGCTGAGCAGGGAGCTCGATGCGGGGCTCGATCCCAGGACCCTGGGATCATGACCTGAGCTGAAGGCAGACGCTTAACGACTGAGCCACCTAGACACCCCTGAACTTTTTTTTTTTAGAGAGTTAGAGTCATAAATGAGTTTCTGAGGTTTATACTTGAAATTGGTGGAAACTAAATGAATTCTGATTACTATAAAGATAATATTTCTACTAGTTAGTAAAGATGAGCTCTTAAGAGTTTGTGGGGGAGAAAAGTTTAGCTAAAGGTTTTGCTAGTGAAAATGAAAAAGTCTTTAGAGGCTTTAGGAGAAAAATGAAGGAAAAACTCTAGGGATAAAGCCAGTCATGCTTGAAATACAAAGTTGAGAGGCGTATGGATTCTTTAGTAACTTTTTAAATAGGAACTAGACGTATAATAGCTATTAGCATGTTTTTCTGGCAAAGGACTTTTTGAGGAAGCCGATTAAACTTTTTTAGGTTTAGAAAGAATTTTAAACTTTATTATTGTTATATTCATTTCTTGGGGTTCAGGTAAACATTTAAATTAGAGCTGAACTGACCACTCATTGGTTTTGTGGGTAGTGAAGAGGCATGGGTGAGAAGAATTTGGTATTATTTTAAGATTTTGTTGTTCCTTATCTCATTTTTATTTTTATTGTGGTAAAATATACCTAACAGAAAGGTGACCTTTTTAACTATTTTTAAGTGTGCGTTAAGTGTGACGTTTAGTACATTTACATTGTTGTGCATCCATCACCACCGTCCATCTTCAGAACTTCATCTCCCCCAACTGAAACTGTATCCATTAAACACTAACTCTCCATTCTTCCCTTCCCTTAGCCCCTTGGTAAGTAATCACCATTCTACTTTCTGTCTTGTTGAATTTGACTACTCTAGGTCTTTCTGTGACTGGATTATTTCCTTAGCATAATGTCAAGGTTCATCCATGTTGTAGCGTGTGTTAGAATTTCCTTCCTTTTAGGCCTGAATAATATTCTGCTTTGTGTATGTACCAGATATTATTTGTCCATCTGTCAGTGAACACTTGGGTCATTTCCACCTTTTGGTCATTGTGAATGCTGCTATGAACATGGCTGTACAAGTATGTCTTTGAGCCCCTGCTTTCACTTCTTTTGGGTACATGCCCAGAAGTGCAATTGCTAGATCATATATTTAATTTTTTGACGAATTGCCAGACTGTTTTCCACAGCAGCTGTACCATTTTACATTCTTACCATCAATGCACAAGGGTTCCAATTTCTCCACATCCTCACTAACACTTGTTATTTTTTGTTTTTTTGATAATAGCCATCATAATGTGTGTGAAGTGATATTTCATTGTGGTTTTGATTTGCATTTCCCTTAGGACTAATGAATGATGTTGAGCATCTTTTCATGTGCTTACTGGCTATTTGTATATCCTTTTCTCATTTTTTAAGTGAAGTCTGATAATACTGAAAAATTTCCAAAACTCTGCTCTCCAGGAATATGATTTTTGTGAACTTGTGTATTTTGCCAGTGTGGGAGAATTGGAGAGTAACAGGACCATGTAGTACTAGATATATCCACAGCTTAATTCCAGACAGACTGAAAGTGATTCTTGTGTAGTAAGCATGTTTTGGGAAAATACTCTGGAAAGCATTCCATAAATTAGATTTCCCTATCTATAGAATAACAAAGTACAGTCAGATGTAGGTTTTGGAAATGTTTATTTGCTCTTGATTTTTATAGAGAATATAAAGTTTGTTAAATGACATTTGTTTTTCTTACAATGGATTGAATTTTGTGTGTTGTCTTCTCACTAACTTTAGGAAGTAATTTATGGAATATAAAGAAAATATAGGAGGAATTTATTTTTTACCATTTCCTTAGGAGAAACCAGAATAAATTATGTGTGCATGCCAAAGGATAGTTATTGATGTAATTTTCTGTAGTATTGCTTTGACCAAATTGCAAGGTTTGAGTTAATTTTATTTGGCAGTATAATATAAATGGCAGTTGAATTTTGTGGGTTGCATTAAAGAATAAAGTAAAATTCATGTCCTTAAGATCTGTAATTTTAGGGGAGTTTGAAAATGGAAATTATTTTATTTTGTAACTCATCTTTTTAATATATAATTTTTGAAAATTGAAACATTGGGTATTCATTAATGATCACCTGTTTTGTGTGTATGCGTTAGCAGAATGTTTATGTGCATCATAATATTTGACTGACTTAAATGTAATATGGCCATTTGCATTCTATTTATTGTTATTATTTTTAAAGACTTTATTTGAGAGAGAGAGGGAATACCGAGGGAGAAAGAGAGAGAGAGAGAAAGAGAAGCAGACTCCCTGCTGAGCAGAGAGCCCAATGTGGGGTCTCAATCCCAGGACCCTGGGACCCAAACTGAAGGCAGACTGAAGGCAGACTGAAGGCAGACGCTCAATCACCTGAGCCACCCAGGCGCCCCTGCCATTAGCATTTTAAAAGTCTGTTCACATGCAGAACTTAAAGTGAAAGGAAGGTTTCATCTTTTTTGCCTCTTTTCTCATAGGTGGGGTTTTGAAATTTATACCAACGATGTTACTTTCTACAGAAAGCACTGCCAGCATGTTGTTCTGTGCACCTAGCTGGCTTGCCCTCAGCTACTTATAATAGAAATAGAGACATTTGAATTTTCTCCATCTTTATATACTTCTGAAAATGTTTCCAGAGAATCCTCAAGTTTTTGAGCTTGAAGGACTTTTACTCAAGGGAAATTTAGTAAAGGTGTGAGTGCTTTATCTGAAGACTTGGATGCTTTCCTTGTGCCTGCATGGCGTGACACAAAGCAAGCCTTGACAGTTATCTGTCTCAATAAGGACAGTTAAACTAAACCCTTAGGGAATAGATGCACACGTATTTATCCTCCTTGTCATCATAATAGTAATAATAAGTAGTAGTAGCCGTAGTAGTACTACCAGGTTCGGTGATTAGTTCTCTCCCCACCCCATCCTCCCTTGCCCTGTTTTCCTTCTTTCTTTGACTTTAAAAGCTTATGTAAGTTTAGATTTGAGTGAAGTGTTTTTGAAAAGTACCACCCCTTTGAAGATGGGATTATAATGAGAGTGCGTCATTATTTCTAGCCTCATAATTCATTATGTTTTTGAGGCATTTTGCTAATAATTCGGACATTCAGTATTAAACATTCCAAAAACTGTGATGACTGGAGGTACTCTTCAGCAGAAACTCTGCCCCTTGGTGTTAAAACTTTTAGATCAGTAACAGTGTATTTCTATAAATTCCTTCTTTAATGAAAACTTTTTTTTTTTTTTAAGCTCTAGGCTTGTGATTCAGCTTATATTTTTATTTTTTAGGGTGACAGTTTGTGAGGATTTTAAAAATCCCAATTTAAAACTAGTGTTGATGCTTTTCTAATTTGTGGATGGGATCATTCTTTTTCATTCATATCTGCTTTGTGTAGTGTGTAAAGAAGGAATATGCAGAAGTAATTCCCAGTTTTTATAATGAGTTAGTGCCCTAAGGTGGATTTATAATGACATTAGTTTCTTAATGAATAATGTTCTTTATTTTAGTGTTTACATTTTCCTTGTACTGTACAGTGTCATGTGGGGGAAAGCACATGGGCTTGTTGCTTGCAAGACTCCTGGCTTACTTACTAGTTGTGTTGTCTGGGCCAAGTACATTAACTCCCGAGAGCCTTGGTTTTCTTGACTATCAAATGGGGATGATAATAATAGTCAATAGATGTGGCAGTGCCATATTCAATAAATACTAGCTACTGTTTAACTGGGATTTTAGAAGTTAAAATATGAATAATGTGGGATTATTATTTCACTTTATATTTTTTCAGCAAAAAATTGAAATTGGAAATTTCTCAAAAAACTATGAAACAAGACCATAGTTTTGTAGGGATGAATCTTTTTCAACCAAAAAAATGGAAGAAACAGTTT